TTTTATAGTTGTATTAGCCACTTTAACTCCACCAGGGAGATAGTTGTGCAGGTTGTTGAGGTACAAGGAGAACAACACCGGGCTAAGCAGGCAGCCTTGCCGCACCCCCTGGTTGACTGGAAAAGCATCTGAAAGTTTGCCATTATAACGCACTTGGCTGCTAGTGTTAGCGTATATAAGACGTAGCGTTTCGATTAGATGACTCGAGAGACCATAGGAAGCTAGTTTGTAAAAGAGCTTATTTCGAGGGATAGCATCGAAAGCACAGGAGAAGTCGATGAAAAAGACAAATGTTTTAGAGTTAGAAGCAAAGTTTAAATGTACAATACTTGTTAGATTGAACAAATTATCCACTGTAGAGTAGTTCCTACGGCTTGAAACTCGTCAAGAACCTCATTGCATTCAACCCAGGAATTTGTTATATTTAAGAGTAAGCCCGTAAAGACTTTGTATATCGTATCCAGGAGCGATAAGCCTCTGTAGTTAGAAGCAGAGGAAGGATCACCTTTCTTGAAGAGAGCAATTGTAACAGACGTGCGGAACGACGGGGGGATTTGCTTTTTAAGATATATATAGTTAAAAAGTGCTAAAAGTTCGTTTAAAAAACATTGAGGTGCAAATTTATAAAACTCGTAACTTATACCATCACTACCCGGAGATTTGTCTTTTCCGGCATTTCTAAGCACTAAGCGAAGCTCGTTCATGTCAAAAGGCGAGTCGATAAAGGGGTCGATGGTGGACGGCAAGGCCCAATGTATGTCAAAATCACACGGATGAGAATAAATCTTCTTGAAGTGAGCACAAAAATCGCACAGTTGAAGGTCAGAAGCAAAAATCGGCTTTGAAAACTTCAACGAGTTGGCTAGACGCCAGCAGTCACTAGTGTTCTTGACGCTGTTTAAAAGCTCAATTTGCTTACAGCTCCAACTCAACTTTTTCCGCGTACAAAGATTGTTATATCTTTTACGACAGGTGATATATTTATCCTTATCCTCATCTCTATTGGATCTCTTGAAGACAGTAAGGAATTTTAACATTTTTTTACGCAGGTTATGACATTGGCTGTCAAACCACGAATGTTTTGGCGTGAAGTAAGCTTTACTTGCCTGGTTAGAAGCTGATGCCTTAATTTTGTCAGTTAATATAGTAACTTTATCTTCTATCGGTATGCTTGAATAAATATATTCGCATTCACTCTTATCTGCTATGAGACGAGCGTACCTTTCAGCGTAGCTATTTTTCCATTTCAGTTTGGGTGTGGGAGATTTTAAATACCACATCGCTGCTTGATCGTGTCCGCGATCGGAAGTTCAAAATAACTGGGATATGGTCTGAATATTCTTTGGCACCAATGCGCAAATCACATATGAAGCGAAGTATATCATAGGAGAAAATACCGTAATCAATGAAAGAGCTACCGGCACCACCGCAAAATGTTATCTCACCACTCTTATCGCCTGAGGTTCTTCCATTTAATATCAGTCCTCCCATGTCATCGAAAATATTAAGCAACTGTTTGCCCTTCCTATCAAGTACAACATCTTTCGATTTACGGGTTGCATAAATATGCGGAAAAGCTGAAAGAATATTCTCATCGACCACTTGAGATACATCTAAGCGCGCGTTGAGGTCCCCAAGTATACAAAATGAGCTCGGATTGAAATTATTCATTAGGTTTTCAAACGTTTTAAAGTCTTCATTCCAATTTGTGCAGTTTATGTATTGGGGAATTAAATAAAAGATCACCTCATCTAGTTTAATCCTCAGAATTACACTATCCCATTGAAACATAAACTTAAGATCGTAAAGGTGCTCAAGGCTCTTCCTGAAACCATAGAGACAACCCCCACTCGCCCGACCAGCTTTGTGCAGCTTGGACGCATCAGTCCATTGTAGCTGAAAATCTGTAAAGTGGTGAAAAAATGTTGATCTGTCTTCAGACATAATATGTGTTTCGAAAAGGAAAAACATGTCAAAAGACTTAATGTAGCTAAAAAACTGGCCATATTTAAGTTTACTATTTAGGTTAGCTACGTTATAAGACAAGATTGCAATATTGTTTAAGTTTTCGTCATACCCTGAATCTACATGTACATTCGCAATACTACTACCTAGCCTACTTAGTTTTTTTGTTCGTTATATTTTGCAAAATTTTATCATAGTTAAGACCATTTAGATCGAGTGAGTCGCCATACCAGTCCTTCAGCATTCTTAACGCCGGTTCGCCTCCGCATTTCAGCACGTTGCCACTGTCGTAGTTCATCCACTTCCCGCATACATTTAAGGAGTCGTTGTGTACAAACACTTTCTTGCTCCGGTCAATGGAAGAGAGAGTTTTCTTAATTTGTAGGAGGACTCTTTTGCGTGTACGTTTATCTTCGCATAAATCCCTCTCTATGAATACCGAAGACCCCGCCAGTTTTTTGGAATTTCTTAGGACTTCAGATGCCACTTGTGCGCATTCAAATTCTGCAACGACGCCAACCTTGTTTTTGTCCCGAAATATTATATGCGTTTCCCGGACTTTGGCCTCCGGCGGTTCCAGCTTCTCTTGTAAAAAGGTACCAAGGTTATCTTTGTTTGCCGTCTCTAACTTCAGCCCTTTCAGCCGGTCTGCCTCTCTTTCAGCTTTTAATATTTTAATTTCTTCCTTCAGAGCTTTATTCTCCTCCTCTAACTCACACAGTTTCTGCGAAACGGAACCCAACTGTTGCTTGATATCGTTTACGTCATCTTTCGTTGCAAGGTTACTCAGATTCCCTTGGAAGTTCTGCCCGTGCTGGTATATGGCGCAGAAGCATGGACAATGACAACATCCGATGAGGCGGAGTGTTCGAGAGAAAGATTTTGCGGAAGATTTATTATATTAAGATTACGCGGTGGCGACGGCGAGTACCGCAGACGATGGAACGTTGAGCTGTATGAGCTTTACAACGATATGGACATAATGCAGCGAATTAAAATACAGCGGCTCCGCTAGCTTGACTTTGATGATCCAGCTCTGAAAGTATTCAACTCGGAACCCGCTGGTGGTAGCAGAGGAAGAGGGAGGCCCCCACTGCCATGGAAAGATCAAGTGGAGAAGGACTTGGCTTCACTTGGCGTTTCCAATCGGCGTCAGTTGAACAGAAGAAGAGAACATGACATAATTTTCAATGCAATATCTGTCAAAATATGTAAATAAAATAAAATATATATACGTTTTTCTTAAAAAAATACGTAATTACACATTTACTAGAAGTAGCATAAAAATACCTTTCATTTGATATATAATTTTTTATAGTTAGGTTTAAAGACAACTGCCAACAACGAAATAAAACAACTGTATTGATATTATATTTTATTAATTTATTTCATATAAAATGATATTTCATAAGTCGATTACGGATAGCAACACAACCACGGCTTGGTTGCCAGCTGACAACGCAACTGGAAAGAAAATTTGTATTACGAATGGCAACTATCGTTAGTTGCTGTAGGGTTATCAATAATCGAAATTTGACAGTTCAACAACCAGCAAGCGGCTGTAAACAAGCTGTGCGAGTAAAATTAAATTATTAAAATAAAGAATTTTAAAGAAAAGACAGCAATAAAGCTAAATTCATCACAATTATTTGTTTATGAGGAAGAGAAATGAATGAACGCGGTTTCAATCAGGCGCCACTCAAAGGATAATTCCAATCCTCTAGAGCTACCGCGTGTACTGTACGCAAAAGTTAATGCTTTATTTTGTTATCGTTTTGTGTTCATTTTCAAAACATATTGAGGACTTCCCAAAGAAGCTGTAGTATAATTGGTTAATAAACAGATGAACCACTTCGTTCAACTTCAATACCTCCGCTCATAAAAGCTTGCGCACCTCTTCGATTTTTCGCACAAGAAAGTGCCACAGCAACGACTTTAATTTGGAAAACTGGGTGTGTCGGTAGTTTTAAAAGAGGTACTTCAGTTGATAAAGGAGAAAATTTGCAATAAGTTTTCGCTTCTGTTTCGCCAAAAGGGCGTTCTCCACGGGAACTAAAATTTCAAGTTATTGGTTTGTTATTTTCACCATATTCTGTAAAAGCAAACTGCATTGCAAAATGTTAATATCGTTCAAATTATTAAAAAGTAAAATATATCACACACTTCTCAATTTTCGCTCCTAAATACGCTCCAAAAACATTCCCAGCAACCACTAAAATGTAGTCGCCTGTATACACACTTTGTAGCAACTGCAGTTGTCAGTTGAAAGTTGCCAGTTGCCATCTGTAATATCGTTTTCGCAACTAGCAACGCAACTGATGTTCGATTGCTATCGATAATCGACCCATTAAAATAAAATAAAAATTTTGAATAAAAATATAGCGCGATATTTTCTTCCAAATGTTCGCCTGCAGAGCTTTTTTTCTTTTAACATATAAAATCATATTTTAATATTTAGTAATATTACCGAAGATTTTTTTAATATAAATCATATATTTAATTAAAGGTGTTTTTGTGCTCTTTATTATCTTCTGCGTATCTTTTAATATAGTTTTTTAAAGAAAAGCAAATTTTTATAAAAAACAAATTGCCATAAGTTATATATACATATATGTTATATACACATATGAAATCAAAGGACTTTTAATTACCTTTCCAACCCTATCCATACTTTGAAAATTGGTTCAAAATTTTTCAAAATATAAGCTTTTGAAAATATTGAAAGTTCCACGTTTACCCTCCCTAGCACCGCTCCTATGAATTTGCACCAAAATGGAATGTATTCCATTAAAATTAGCGATCCGTTGAGTACCAATAGCAATATTTTTACAAAGATGCAGAGGGGGATTCACGACCAGCGTCCGGACTTTGCTCCGATCGGAGTAGATTTACTCCGATTTCTTTTTTAAATTTAAAATCTACTCCCTACTCCGCTTAACTTAAATATGCTCCGACTTTTTTTTTTTTTTCTTTTAATTTATTGTATGTCCTTTTTTAAAGACAAGTACAAAACTTAAAGCTATGACAACCGAGGTCTTAAGCTTACTGACATCAGTAACTTATGCTAATTATTTTAACTTTATATATCATTATATATATTACAATACTTTAGATAGTATAATATTTTATTTATGTTTACAATTGTTAGATCAGTTAGTAGGGTTGAAGGCTTAGTATTATTAAGAGAACTCCTGTGTCTTCTGAAATGAATGCAGTAGTCTAAAATATGCTCTACTGTTGAGTTGGATGCGTTACAGTATTTACAGTTGCTACTTTCTTTACTAATTATATGTTCGTGGGACATCCTCGTGTGACCCAGTCTGAGTCTTGTAATCTTTACAAAGTCTTTTCTGGTTATGCCTTCATTAGGAGACAATTTAAATCGATTGTATATATTATTCATGTTAGGGTTTATTGTAATTTTTGTATAGCTTGTACCAGTTAGTTGTTCTATCGTATAACTCTTGGTGTCGTCTGTTGAATATATCTTTTATGTGTCTTAGTATATCGGGATATAGTATGTTAGGCGTAGTTATAAGTGGTAGATTATGTGCGGATTTTGCTACTGTGTCGGCTATCTCGTTGCCTGTTATTTTTGTGTGGCCAGGTACCCAGATAAGTTTAATTTTGTTATTATTTTTTATAAGTAAGTTTCTTATGGAGTTGGTGTAGAAGTTGTCATTAGTTAAATTAGATATTGATTTTAACGACGAAAGCGAGTCCGTACATATGGCAAATTTTCCGTGGGTGTGACTGGCAAATATAATGGCCTCATGAATGGCTATTGTTTCCGCCGCGTAGTTCGAGCTATATTTAGGCAGGTGGGTGGTCAGAATTGTTTTTTGGTCTAGTATGATACTATAGCTTACCATGTCACCCTGTTTACTTCCATCTGTATAAATAAATCTGAAGGAAGGTATTTGTTGTTTCAGGTTAAGAATTCCTGTGTATGAATATCAGTAGCCCATCGGTGTAAGGAGTAGTTAATTGAAGTAGGTTGAAGTTGCCAAGGAGGAAATATGAAGTGCTTGCTAATCTCATAGTTGATTGGAATGCCTAATGCGTTTGCTGTTGTTATTATTTTGTTAAGAGTAGATGGAATTCTAGGGGCTCTTTTTTATTTTTTTTAGTTTTACTGCCAAATTAGGTAGTAAGGTGTTGTCGTTAATTAAAATGGATTTCCAGAGTTTATGTATAGCTATCTCAAGAATGATAGAATACAAGATTGCGCCCATCAGAGAGGATTTTTGAGAATAACTTTTGTGTGACGTCACACTGGTGCAATTGCGAGAGAGAAATGCCAAAACGTCAGCAAGAATGGAAGAAGAAAAAATGTTGCAAGGAAAACGTAAACAAGTTGCACAAGCGTGACGTCATACAAACAACGATTCTGTCAAATTCACTGAGAGAGGAATAGCGGTACCGTAATGGGCGCAACCTCTACTTCTCTCAATCGTGCTTTTAGCCATCTCACGGCTTAGTTCTATTGGCAGTATTTTAGCTTCGCATCTAATATTAGTTACGGGTGTAGTCCTGTATGCTCCAAGAGCTATTCTAATGGCTGAGTTTATGGTAGAGTTTAGTCTGTTTAAAATAGATTTCGGGGAGAAACCAAACAAGTATATTCCATAGTTAACTTTTGAAATTATTAGAGAATTTACTGCCCGAACTAAAGAAATTGGATTGCAGTTATATTTCGTACTTGAGAGACATTTAATGATGTTGAGCTTTTTGTTTAATGAGGCTATGAGTTGATTTATATGGTATTCCCATCTGTATCTTTTATTAAAATATATGCCTAGGATTCTTAAGTTGTCAACATTGCTTAGATTTAATTGGTTACAGGTGATGTTGGTTGTGCAATTTTTCATCCGACAGATGTGAATATGTTTGCATTTGCTTAGCGAAAGGACTGCTCCAGAGTATTGACACCAGTTTGAAATGTCGTTATATATGTGATTTAGGTTATAGTTAGTATTTTTGTTTTATTAATTTTCTTTATCAATATGAAGTCATCTGCGTATGCTAAGAAATGGATTTCCTTATGGAGAGAAATAATTTTGCACACTTTATTGTAGGCTATAAGGAATAAAATCACAGATAAAGGGGAACCCTGAGGTATTCCATTCTGTAGGGGGTACATTTTGTACATATTTATGCCTATTCTAACTCGAATCTGCCGATTGGTCATGAAGTTCTTAACATAATTGAAAACTTTAGGTCCTATTTTCCATTCAATAAGTTGGTCTAAAATTGTATGGATACCAATTTTTTCGAAAGCTGTCGCGAAATCGAGGGAAACAATGGATAGATGCTTTTTGGGAGATAGGGACTGAGTAATCTGATGGTCTAGATCGACTAGATAATCAGACACTGATTTCCCTTTTCGGAAGCCCATTTGATGGCTATGCAGTAGCTTATCGCAGGAAACAAACCACCATAGCCGATTGGCTATAATTTGGTCCAAAACTTTAGAGCAGCAGGTGTTTAGTGAGATGGGGCAATATGAAGAAATTGCTGTTTTGTCTTGGTTAGGTTTGTAAATTGGGATGACTAGACTGTTCTTATACGTTTGAGGGATAAAGTTGTCAAAAATGTTATTATAAAGGGAAAGGAGACGGGTTTTTACAGTACATGGAGCATTCTTAAGCATTGGATAAGATATCCTGTCAAAAACTGGGGTCTTGCCTTTTAATTTGTTAAGGGCTAGGGTTAATTCAAAATTACTAATATTTTCTTCAATGAACAAGGTGGATTTGCTGGGTTCAAATGAAGGGAGGGCAGAGAGAGATCGATGTTTTTGGTTCCTGAAGTCTAGAGGAAATTTTATGTTGTTTGATTCCGCCGACCAGTATTCTGCAAAAGTATTGGCAATCATTGGTTTATCTGTGATTGTAGTAGAGTTAGAGGGTTGGGGAGAGAGGCAGTGAATAGTATTGTATAATTTTAAGCCACAAAATCTGCGAATTGTTGCCCAAACTTGTCCGGAGGGACTAGTAGGGTTTATTTTTGACGTGTAGTCGGCCATTGCTTCGGATCCCAACAGCGATTTCTTTCTTTTTTCAGTTCCTCAAGATTTCTGTTCCACCAGGGGACAGATTTTCTAATTTTAAAGCTGGTTTGAGGGATCGTTTCGTTTGCGCTTTGTATAAAAATTCTTTTTAAATTTGCGGTTTCCTTGTTTATATTATGACTAATTGGGATTTTGTCGTTGATTATAATAGATTTAAATCGAAATTTATCCCAGTCGGCTATATTTAAATTAAATTTGGGAGGACAATTGAGGGATAGATTTTGTTGGTTGGGAAAAATAGAAATTAAAATGGGGAATTGATCACTTCCAAATAGATTGGACTCGATTTCCCATTTTGATTGTAAGGCTATTATGGGCGTTGCGATAGTTAGGTCTATATTTGTTAGTGTATGATATGTTGTGTAGTGTGTAGGGGAACCATTATTAAGAAGCACTAATCCCGACTGGTTTATAAATTTTGAAATTTTGTTGCCTCTAGCGTTGTTCGTAGCAGAACCCCAACTGGTGTGCCAACTGTTGTAGTCGCCACAAATTAGCCATGGTAGATTTACTGTGTCGTACAGTGAGTGTAGTTCCGAGACTTGAAACGGTTTATTTGGTGGAATGTAGGTGGAACTAATAACAAGCTTTTGTTTGGATTGAACTATATGATTTACGATATAGAAATTGGTATTTGGTGTGCTGCATAACTGGTGTTGTACAGAGTTATGTTTTAGTATTGCGGAACCACCAAATGAGTTCCTGGTATTGGGAGAATTATATAGAGAGTAGTTACTAGGAGCAGGAATCGGTTTTGCACTCATAAAGTGAGTTTCTTGTAAAGTAACAACTTGTGGGTGGTGCTTTTTTAGCAGACAGAGGAGTTCGTTGTAGTTAGAGTGGTAACCTCTAATATTATACTGTAAAACTGTTAGTGCTGTAGTTATTGACATAGTTGTTAAAGTAGATAGCTAAAGAGTTTTAGTTTGCTTACGATATATACCTTAATAATAAAACGTGTGCTTATTCTTCCATAGCTAAGCTGCTTGAATCGCCGGTATCGGTATCATGATTCTTTGTCGCTGAAGCTATAAGCTTACTTCCATTTTTTGATTTGGCTTTTAACTGAGCTTTTATGCGCTTGGAGAGATGTATTGGATATACTTTCGTCGTTTTCTTTTGGTTGTTGATGTGCTGAGTGCTTTCTGGAGCGGTTTCTTTGGCTGATTGTTTTTGGATACTTTGTGAATTTGTTGCTTGGGGATGGGTTTGGATGTAGTAGAAGCTGAGATTGTGGTGGTATTGTTGGAGATTGATGGCGTTGTTAGTGGAATGGATTCTATTGAGTCATATGACTTAAGCTGACGTGCGGTGTCAGCATATGATTTTGCTTGGTGTCTCTCTTGATATATTGAGTGGGCTTTTTTTGAGTCGACTTTCTGCAGAGTTTTGATCGCTTGAATTTCCTTTTGCATGACAAATTTTTGTTAAAAGTTGAGTGGGCTGTATCTGTATAGTTGAATTCCTAGCAGTTGTTGCAATTTGGTTCGTTTGAGCATGTTTAATTTAGAATTACGTTTATGTGACTGATATTTCCACAGTTTGCACAGAGTTGGTTACCTTTACAAAATTTTGTAAGGTGACCAAAGCGCAGACATTTTTTGCATCTTAATGGCAAGGGGATGTAGGGTCGAACATTTGTTATTTCGTAACCGATAGAGATGTAATCCGGTAGGGTGAGAGGAGAGAATGTTAAAATGATGAGTCCAGTCCCGACTAGATTCTCATTTAGCTTTTTGAGTATTTTTTTTTACTTCAGTGATGTTTTGTGTTTTGAGTTCATTTAATATTTCTTCTTCCGTGATTCCTCTACTTAGGTCGTTGTTGTAGATGACACCTTTGGTATAGTTCAGTGTTTTATGTTCGGACACTTCAACTTGGATTTGAGGTGTAAGGGTGCTTAGTTTTAAGAGTTTGTCGGCTTGTTTGGTGTTTTTTGTGTTTATCAAGATATTACCATTTCTTATTTTTTTGCAAATATCAACTTCCCCGCTAACACAGTTGATGACTTTTTTAATTAGGAAGGGAGAGACCCAATTGAGAGTTACTTGACTATTAACTCTTTGGATTAACAAGTACTTTGGGCCCGGAGATTTATTTTTAAGTTCTTTCGTATTATTGGTTTGGAAAAGCAGCGGACAAGATGGTTTTTGTTTGGCAATATCAGGCGGTTCTTCCATTTTTGCTGCTTGGATTACACTACACTATTCCACTGTGCCCAAATAAGAGTGATTGAAAAAAGAGTTGGCTGTAACACATCCGAATTGGTCAGACGTCACGAGTGAACTGTCCGATTTTTTTACTTTTTTCCATTCATATTAAGAATTTTTTAAAAATAATATGGTAACTTTTTGAATTTTTGCTCAATAGCTTCTATGGCAACCACCAAGGTTTTGTATATCAAGGTGTAACAGAAGTTGTCTCTTTTACTCCTTAACATTCCTTACGGAATAATTTTTTATTTCCCAAATCAAGAGATTGATTAAGGATCAGAAAAATGTTTTGGAAAGGTGTATGTTTAACAACTTGGCAGAGTATATGTTGACGTTACGTGTTTTACTGCACAGTATGCTGCTGCCGAAAGAAAATTTTCAGAGATGAAACTCTTTAAAAATAAATACAGGAATAGGCTTAATGACGAAACAGTTGAAAGTTCAGAAATTTATACGCCGTCTAATTATTATTTAAAAAAAATATTATAAATTTATAATATATATATATATATATATATATTATATTTTATATTATTTATATTTAGAGATCAAGCTGATTTACAAGAACTCCGTTTCAATACTATACTATTTAATAAAAAAATGTTAATCTGCTCCGAAAATTTCGTTTTGGCTCCGATTTTTCGAATCATTTACTCCTGAATCGAGTTTCAGTAGCCCGAACGCTGTTCACGACTCTATTAATGTAATTTTGGGAACAAGTAAAGAATAGGGCCCGTTGAACTAAAAAAAGGAAAATCTTTGGTAATATCACTAAATATTAAAATGCGATTTCATTTGTTAAAAGAAAAAAAGCTCTGTTGGCGAACATTTGGAAGAAAATAGCGCGCTATTTTTTATTAAAATTTTTCATTTCATATTAATATATCAATACAGTTGTTTTATTTCGCTGTTGGCCGATGCCCTTAAACCTAACTATAAAAAATTATATACCAAATGAAAAGTATTTTTATGCTCTTTTTTTGTAAATGT